GAATCCATTTTAATGAATATACATAATTATTAAATATGCAAATATTTTGCGGCTGTTTTTTGTTTGTTAATAAAGTGTTTATTAACTCAATGCGAGACAAAAATAAAAACTGTCATAAATGTTTGCATTTTCGTGGCCAGTTCATAACAAAGGGGAGCAAAAAATGGTATTTATTGGGACGCTCAGCTGCCTGTCAATAATTTTATTGATGTTTTATTGATATTTTATAGACCAACAAGTGAATGCAGTTAATCAACTGACATTTGCCAAAAGCAAAAACAGAATACAATAAAAAATAGGGTCGCACTTAATATAGGAATTCATAAACAATAAACAAGCTGCAGATAAGATTATATTATTATGGCCAGAGGCAATGCAAATTAAAAAAGCGAGCGAAGCAAATATATTTTGTGAGTCCCCACTGAATTCAGTTGACACTAGTTGCTGTGGTTTTATTGCGATTAAGGTTTTAGTATGTGCGCTTAAGTGGCCAAAAAAAAAATGGTTGAACATTTAATATTCCAACATTATTTTTTGTAGTCTCTCATGCGAAAGCCGCAGCTATTGCCTTGACATTGTTGTGTTGAATTAAATGAAATATTTATAAATTTGCATGCACAACAATTTTGTCAGCGTCCATTTTAATTAAGCTCAAATGACCAAAGTTGCAGCCAAAACAAAACACGCCCGGATAATTGAAACAAAAGGCCGTTTGAGTTCTGCCTGTGAAATATGCAATCTATTTGCTGGAAAATGCAACTCGAGTGGCTCCAGTCTGTGGATGGGTATTACCTTGACCTAAGCGACCAAAAATCAAAAACAAACACAAAGGACGCAGCTTTATGCCGTGTCCCTGTCAAGTGGGCTTTGTGTTTTGGCAATGAAATGAGCAGCTTGTCCCCTGTGTTGCGGCCGCCCATATATGCCCCAACTGTTCCGTTTTGCGACTCTTTATCTGACTGTTTGTTTATGACCACCCGAACTTTTTATCCCACTGTCTCACGCGCTGGCACATTTGCCTGTTTTTTCTCTTTTTTTTTTTTATTTTGTATGTTTACATTGCTTTCGCCGGCATTTTCTGAATGCTTAATTATAAAATGCTGTCATGTGTGTGCACGTGTGTGCTTTCACGCCGCTTTACCTCAGCAAATATTTGCCTGACAACTCCTCAACCCAAGCCAAGTTTCCGCAGCAGTTTTAAATCCGTTAAGTGGCTTAGCATGAGTAATAAATATTATGAAATGTAAGCACGAGTTTGGCATTTAAAGCTGCGGGCATATTTAAAATATGCCCGCGAATGCCCTGTCTGTGTTTTAAGCAAAACCCTTTTCAGCATTTAATCATTGTCAAAAAGGACGAAGGCTGGCATAATTATAATATTCATACGAAATTGTCATATTTTAGTGCTTTGCTGTTATTTCTTGCCCCTTGACTGTGATTTTCTTACTTCCAACGAACTTGAAGCTCGTCTAACGAGCAGTTGGCCGGGGCAAGCAAAGTTTTGCACAAAAAGCGACAGAAACCCTTAAGGCGTCTCACTCAGATGTTGTAAGTAGGGTTCGGTCTAGCATAAATTGACCGGCTAGCAAGTCAAGTCAAGTCGTCTTATATACAGCTGCTTCCAAGTACGCATTCTCAGGCATACAAAGTAACAACTGGCATGCGTCCATAATGTTAAGGTATGTCTGTGCGTGCTCAGATTGAAAGAAATCCGGTTTTACAGTTCGAGACGCACGCGTGTGCGATTCACTGGGTCCGTGCGCACACATGTTTAATGCAATACTCCAAAAAATACTCATAAATGTTTCCCATTCGAGGGTCTACTTAGGTTGGCATAAGTCCAGCATCGACCGCTGAACCGTTGTGAGCAACGGAAGTGCAGAAGTAAAAGAAGCCGCAAGGAAATTATCAAAGGCAACAAGCGGAAGTAAATGTGCCATAGGCATACACTGGCAAATCAGCGTTAATAATTGAACAGGTGATGAGTCCCACACTGCGTATGCGCAATGTTCAAACGAAATTATCAACATTAAAGCAAACGGAAATTGCCAACTGCTGCCCAGTGCAGCATGCCAAAAATTCAAGAAAATGAACCAAATGTGACTTGGCTACCAATTAAAGCACTTTTTGTTGGCTTTCTGACAATATTTTCCATTAACTTTTTGTTTAGTTGTTGCTCGCTGTCAATTGCAGCGTCTGATTAAAAATTGTTGGTTGTTTTCTTCGCATTTTTTTATAGAAATGTTTGCTTTTAGTTGTACTTTGCCTAATTGCTTTGCCTTGTTGGTGTTTCGGTTATTTTGTTGGCTTTCAACTCGCATTTTTTTTCAAACCACTTCCTTCACATTCTGCCGCATGTTCAGCTAACGTTTGCTTGGGCATATGTAGGGTATATGGGTCCATTGAAAATGGGTTAAAAAAAGAAGTTCTAGCAATGTTCATTCGAGTTGAACAAGTTTACTATAGACTTTTACCCGCACCGCCATCTGCTTTACAAAGCTTCAGCAATTGTGAGAGTGAATATGTGTTCAGAGGGGGTCATAGGTTAGTTTCAATTCATACATTTTCGTTTGGAACGTTCTAACTGATTGTATTGTTAGTTTTGGCACTTTGACATTGTCATACTTTCAAAGTTTTAACCACAAGTTTCTGGTTTCAATTTACAACAGTATTGTTGCCATCTTTGGGATTTAATTTTCGATTCCTTTTTGGCGAAAGTCAAACAAGTGCCAAATGCTGTTAACACTTAAAAATTGTATTGAGCTAATGCCCAGAAGCGTTTGATGTTTTCTAGTAAGCGATTGTTGTTGAATTTTTGGGGATTTCAATTAATTTGCGCCAGCACAAGTAATCTTGGCTTTGAAAGACAGCTGTCAAAATAATGGCTTCAACCGTCTTCAAGTAGTTTCAATAAGCTTGAAGCACTGCCAATTGCAGTAATCGCTGGACTATCAGTCAACCGAGCAGTCCTTGTACCTCATAAGTACGGAAGCTGTGCTCCTGACCAGCAAAGTGGCTCATCTAAATGCGCACAGCAGGGCCCCGCCTTCGATATACGACCACTATAAAAAAAATGGGAAGAAAATAGAAAACATGCACTCTAAATAAACATCTAATTTAAAGCACAGCATGTGGCTGGGCCACACTTAATTGAATTCTGTGTAGGTCTTCTTGGAGCTGGGCGAAACAGTAATAAACAAATAGCTTAAATTACTTGGCAACCACACCCAGGGCACACAAGCTCTGGAGCGCACCAGTCACTCATTCAGTCAGGCCTCGGTCTGCTGCTTCCAAATAAATATAAAAAAATAAAATAACGTATACGCACCGTATGCCGCACATTAACGTCTGAGAGCTTGCGTTTGGCAGCTGGGTACATTAGCATCTTCTTCTGGCTGAGGGACCTGTGGGCTGTGACTGTCAAGTTTTGGAGTGACCGGAAAGCGTTGAAATTGAGTCAAGTCACGTAATGCCCAACCATCGAACAACTTGTTGCTGCCGCTGACAGTGGCAGACTTCGTGGCCTGAGATGAAACATGGCAAACACTTGGTATTTAATGCTTAAGCAACGTCTATTTAAATGATCTAATGAAGCCGTTGAGGCCATTAGCACTGCCCACATTATTAATGCGGCCCCCAAATAATGGCGCTCACATAATCAGCCTGGGCTTACGTTTGGGCCAATTTTAATTACAATGTCTGCCAGCAGCTGTTGCCAATTCGCTTGCACTTGCGTTGGGGCACGTCGCCGTTTATTATTGTTGCTGCATAAACTGGCCTGATACGCAGTCTTGTGTGCTGCTCATTAGCTGCAGATGTGTCAGTGGATTATGTGTCTATTCGTGTGTCAATTTGGATGCTTGGATGCGGGCCACACTGAGATTTTGCCAAGCAGCTAAACAGCGGGTGTGTGGTAAAGCCGATAAATTTAAAATCTGTTAACAAAAGGTTATAAATATTTCTGCAAGTCCACATGTATGTGAAAAAATTTGTCATTTATTCGACCAAGGCAAAAAGTTTGGATTAAATGTAGCAAGTGACTTGGGTATGATAGGAGCCATAGTTATAGTTGCGGTGGCAGCTACAGCTGTAAAGTTCAGCAAAAGCCAAATGTGGTTGACAAAGTGCAAAAGCCAAGTGTGGCATGCAACCAACTGCAGCCATGCAATGACATTTCGTTTCACTCCAATGCCATTGCGTATACGCAGTGTGCACGTGTTTGTGTGTGTGTGTGCCTGGCAATGGAAATTGGAGAATGGATAACGAAATCGTTTGCTTTGTTCGGGATAGCTGCATAAGTTGCCTGGCTTTTGTAATGTGAAGACAAGTGACTTGTTACTGCCCTTTTTCTTGGCCCAAAAACTCTGTCAGCTCAACTCTGAGTATCTGCGCTGGGGGCGTATGCGTTATATTGATTGCCCTTGCAGCTTCCACGCCAGAAACAGTCTTTTCCCCAATTACTTAACCCAAACTACCCTGGACAAGTATATTTTTTGTCCTTAAATCATGAACGTGTGGGTTTTAAAAATTTAGAAATTTGTATTGCGAACTTATTTAATGAACCTGCATAAGAAATTAGACTCATTCGGAATAGAATACTGTAATATAGGAAGTTAATCAGAAAGTGTCAAGGGATACTTAACTCCGATCTTTAACAAGGCCGCTTTCTTTAAGTTAAGTACAATTTAACCGAAGTTCTTTTCACTTGAGCTAATTGAAACTAAATATTTGCCTTTCACTTATAATTTAACCTAATTATTAAAAACATTTTGCAAATGTCATTTATTATGAGCCCTGGAAATTTAAGCACTACATTTGGTTCATTCCCTTGAACTTCAACTTGAGATACAGACACGTTATATTTCATTTTACATTTGCATGTTACATGAAAATTGTTGCTGTAAGAACAAAAATAATGCCAACACGCAAGGCGCGGCCATAATTTATTGCTAAACGCAGGGCGCGAATGTTGTACAAATATTTGGCTTATTTAATTTCAGCTACAGCAACTGGACAAAGCGACCAATTTTAATATTGGAAAATCGAAGAGAGACAAAAAGTAATATTAATGAGGAGGCAGAGTTTGGGTCTGGGCATGTTGACAGCGCACAGCTGAAGCACAACGAAGCAGTCAGTGCCACAAAACCACGCAGCACAGAGCTTGAGCGCCAGGAGTAGTTGTTACAGGAGCGGAGGCGGCTTTTGGCCAGCCTGAACACGGGCGTAATCAAGCGAACAGCCACCTGCCGGACGATCAGCCGACCAAAATTGACAACATGGTCACGAACATGTCGCAGCCGCATTATTGCGGCGCCAGCGTCGATGATTTTCACACAAAGTAAGTTGATTGGACGGTGTCGATGGGCGTTTGCCATGCGGCATGCGGCATGCGGCTAGCGGCATGTGAACTGTGTCAGCATATTAATTACTTTTTTTGTGTCTTTTGAATGCAATTAACATAATAATTTGCTTGCCCATGTGATAACTGAGGTTTACATAAGGAAATCACCTGCGTAATTGCTATTAAATATTGTTATGGGGCTGGTTAAACGGTGCGTATGCTTAATAATTATATGATTATTGGGCATAGGGCCCCGCAATATGGATATAAGTAATTATGCATTTTAATTACCTAATGTACACGCAGTTCGATTGATTTCTTACCTTTTAGTTTTGATTAAATTTTTTGGTACATTAAGTATTACAAATTCTTTTAATTTCTCGACAGCTATAAATATATTCATGGCTACTTCTCGCTCATCGTCTGCATTTTGGGCACCCTGGCCAACACACTGAATATCATTGTGCTGACCCGTCGGGAGATGCGTTCACCTACAAATGCGATACTCACGGGCCTTGCGGTGGCCGATCTGGCCGTCATGTTGGAGTATATACCCTATACGGTGCATGATTACATACTCAGCGCGCGTCTGCCGCGGGAGCAGCAGCTCAGCTACAGCTGGGCCTGCTTTATCAAGTTTCACTCGATTTTCGCACAGGTTCTCCACACCATCTCAATTTGGCTAACAGTTACGCTGGCCGTCTGGCGCTACATAGCCGTCAGCTACCCGCAGCGCAATCGCATCTGGTGTGGCATGCGGACCACAACGATAACCATTGCCACAGCTTATGTGGTTTGTGTGCTGGTGGTATCGCCGTGGCTTTACCTTGTCAGCGCTATAGCCAAGTTTCTGGAGACTCTCGATGCCGATGGCAAGACGATTAAGTCGGTGCCCTTAAGTCAGTATATTTTGGACTACAATAACGAGGAGCACATCACGATGCAGGTGCTGTCCAGCACCACGCCGGACATGGCCTGGCCACTGGCTCCGGGCAGCAGCAACACCACAGCCGTCAGTTTGATAAGTCCCTTCACAGATCTGCCCACAACAACAATGACAACAACCACATTGCCATACGACGCGGGAGAGCGCAATGTGACGGTTTATAAATTATACCACAGCGAACTGGCGCTTCACGATCGCCCACTGCGCAATGCCACATTTCTCATCTACAGCGTGCTGATTAAGCTGATACCCTGCTTTGCCTTGACAGTGCTCTCGGTGCGGCTGATTGGCGCCCTGCTGGAGGCGAAAAAGCGACGCAAGATACTCGCCTGCCATGCGGCCAATGATATGCAGCCTATTGTCAATGGCAAAGTGGTGACACCTAGCCAGCCCAAGAGCTGCAAGCTGCTGGAGAAGGAGAAGCAAACGGATCGCACCACGCGAATGCTGCTGGCTGTGCTGCTGCTGTTCCTCATCACAGAATTTCCACAGGGTATTATGGGTTTGCTGAATGCGCTGCTCGGCGATGCATTTCTCATGCAGTGCTACCTAAAGCTGAGTGAGTATGAAGCAGAAACTCGGTTCAGTCTGTTACTGGGACAAATTACATGCTATTAGTTTTAGTTTTAACATCAGACTTTTTATACGTGATGGTAAATGAAAGATTTGTTTTAATGCGACACGAACATGAACACTGAATGTGCGCTTGGTTAGGAATATAAATGGGACACGACGTGATGGGGACGAGCTTTTAAAATGTAGGAAGGCTACGTTTGCTAATATGTTTTGATTGCAGAATTATTTATGATATTATATTATTGAAATGATGTTGCCTCATACTGGGAATATACTAGAATCACAGAAAACTATCTATCGATATATTGATTAATCGATTTGTTAACAGTGGATACACGCTCAATTCAACTTGATATTCACATCAATTATACGCACCGTTAGCCTACAATTATTTATGTTCTCATTGAAATCTATTTCAAAACATTAATCAACGGTACTTAACACTCTCTATAATATTAATCTATAAAAAATGCAAAGTACCAGTCAATTATATTTATATGTTTTTCCATACACGACATGAAGCACAATTTGAGATTCACATCAATCATACGCACTGTTAGCCTAAATCAAACAGAAAATCACAGTCATATATGCGTTATTTAGTAACTTTTATTATTTGGAGAACAACATTAGGGTTTTCATTGTTATTTAATGGCAGCGTTGTCTTGGCAGAGTGGAGCCATTACTTGCACTGGCGCTCATGGCATTTCAATTCTAATGTCTCATTTAAGGTGACCTAATGGACATCTTGGCACTTATTAATTCGAGCATCAATTTCATACTCTACTGCTCGATGAGTCGACAGTTCCGCAGCACGTTCACGCTGCTTTTCCGACCGCGCTGGCTCGACAAATGGCTTCCGTTGTCGCAGCATGATGGCGATGCCAGAGATGGTGCCGGCGGTCGCCTCGATGGCTATGGCAGACAGCGTCTGGTGCATACGGATGCTGTTAGCAAGAGCATGGCCATTGATCTGGGTCTGACGACGCAAGTGACAAATGTGTAGCAGGAGTGCAGCAGGGCAGTGTCAACAACAATAACAACAACAACCACAACGGCGGCAACCGGCGTAGCTGCAGCGGCAATGACTGAAACAGCGCCTGATGTTGATGGATGCGCCAACAAAATTGGCGCTACTGATGACATCTGCGTGGTTGAAATGCTGCAGCCAAACGACACTGTCACAAACAATAAACTACCCAACAGCAGCAGCAGTAGCAGTAGCAGACGGCTAGCAGGGCGGGAACGCACAGCAAGGGAGGGACATCGTCGACGTTGCAGCGTGGGCGGCAAATGCATCTGGCCAGCCAGTGACTGGCTGCGCAAGTTGCGAAACAAGCAGCCGCAGCAAGAGCAGGAGCAGCTGCCGCGGGAGTCACGCAGCAGACGCGGCAGCGTGCTGCTGATGGTGCTGCTCAGCGGTAACGAGATGGAGGCAAAGGCGGTGGTTGTCAGCGAACAGCAGGCCGTAATGAGGAAGTCGCAACCGCAGCGACTAGCTCGCTTGGCAACCGATGACATGGACGAAGCCATCGATGCGCTGTGGCTGTGAATAAAGCAACCACAGCCATGCAACGAAAACAACAACAACAACAACCGCACTCTTTACACGTGTATTTGAATATTATCTAGCTGGTAAGACCAATCACAATTTGTTAAACACCCGTTGCCAATTTTGGCCAGCGTTGCACGCACGAATCGAGCCCCTCGCGTGTGCAGCGCTCCGCCAAATTTCGGCTGTGGGGTCTTTTTAACAGTTTGATGGTGCATAAGTTTCTCTAAGTGATACTTGACATAGTTTATTAGTTTCTAAGTGCAAAGCGTATGTAATATAAACATTTAATTATAGTTCAGCTTATGCTAAGGATGGGCCAATCGAAATGCCTTTGAGTTTTCCTCAAAATTGGTGAGCCTTGGTTGTCAGTAAGCATCTTACGCTAAGTATCTTTATATAACAATGAATTATTAAACTAATGTTTTAAATAAAAAATATAGTAATAATTTAATGTAACTCTAGCATAATGTGTGATTTATTTATATACTTAGCTAGTCTGAAGAGTAAGTAATATCTATAATGGAGTGTAGTTTACCGTGTAAGCTAGATTAAAATCTTGTTTTGCTTTTATATGAGCTGCATATAATTATGCGCAGTTGCATTTTTTCAGGGAATGAAGGTCCCGCTTGTTGGCTATTTAAAAAAAAACTGACTTATTGAAAGTATAAAGGCAAAAGTTAAGTTCATTTTTCACTATTAGCATAAAATAGTAAAATAAGTGAAAACTTGGCTTAGCAAAGGACGTTGATTAATTGTGGTTGTAATCAAAGTGCGACTTTCCATTTTTCAGCTGCGTGCAAAGAGACAGCTACCACAAAAACCAACCCTCACAAAGCCAGCCAAAGCAACAACAAACAACTGATGACCCAATTCGTAGCTGCTAATGACATCGTTTTTATTAGTAATTGTTGCTATTAGATATGATATATGGCTTTACTTTAGCGATTTCAGCGGACCCGTTTTTAATCAAATCGCAAAGGCTTTCTGACTGCACGCAGCTGCCCAAAGGTGTTTGTTTTTACTTTGACCCCATCAAGTTGTGTGAAAAACCAATAGCTAAGCAAAATAAATTGCCCCAAATTGGCAAGCAAAAGGCCAAAACGTTTAAAAAGCACGAGATTTAGCAGATGTTTAACATGAATTTGTTAGGGCAAATTTATTTTGCGCTTATCGATTTCTAAAACGCTGTCAGCTTAAAGAAAGGGGGACGTTCATTTTTGCTATAATTTCGGCTAATTGGCACCCTTTATTTTTCTCCCCAGCAGCTTAATTAGCACATGCTTTTTCAAGTTTAAATTAAGAGCAAATTGGGCAGCCACCTGATATACATATAGTATATACTAAAAGTATACATTAATCAAATTTATATGCTAAAGCCGGCTTAAATTCTATTTTCATCCAATATAATTCCATTAACACAAACAGTTGACAAATTAGCTATTTCTCGGTATTTCTCCCAACAGGACTTATGTAAACTTTAAAATTGTAAAGATATTTGTTAAATTAGCAGTAAATGTTTGCTGTGCAGTCTGTATAAAGCGCCCATTCATCATCTTGCACTCAGTCTCTCTCTCTCTCTTTCTCTGCTATTTATGTTTGTCATATATCGAAAGCTCTCTGTTCAGGTAAACTTGCGATCTAAATGCCATTGAAAATGCATGAATGACAAGATGATATGCACTCCTTGATATATATTTTGCTGTTGCCATTGACTTTTTTGTGGTTCATGCGGCGAATGAGCAACCCAATTTCCAGTTTTTTTGAAAAACTAAATTTTCACACACACACAGTCTCTCTCGCCCTCTCTCTCTCTCTCTCTCTCTCTGGCGCTCTCAAGTGCTTACAAGAGTGTCAATAAATTTTCACACGATAAAAATGAAAGGAGCAATAGAAGGTCAAAAGGCGTTGCCCGGATATATGCGAAAAACTAATCAAAATGCTTTAGCACATGCAGAGGATGCTGCCAGCACTGGCAGGAACCGCAAGGATTGCAATTACAAGCACAAATACACAGACATTTTCATTTGGTCTCGCTGCGTTGTTTGTGGCTTGGTTATGGGCACGTTCAAAGAACTGCAAGTATTTGGATCATATTCTGCAGGCTAAACTGCCTGACAACAACTATTTAATCTGGCTTTTGGCATATGACTTTCGAATGCCTAACCAAATTTTATTGTTGCTGGGCATTTGCATATGTAGAATGTTAGAATGTTAATTAATATTTAACACTGGCCAATAATTTGGGTACTAACGGACTTTTAGACAAAGTGAGGTGCACTTTTTAAATGGCTTTCTAAACAATATGTATATGTGATTTTCTGTGTATATTTTTAAGTCTTACGAGAACTATAACGTTTTGTTTTGTAAACTAACAATAGATTAAGTTTGATTCTTTGTTTAGCTCGGAAATTCATAACAAAACTCTGGAAACCTTACATTGTTCCAGTTAACGTAAAATTTTAATTTTAATATTGCAGAGTGTGTGTTAATTTCTTTATGGCCGGCAGCCAAACCAATCTGCCAGCTGCTGGCGGCGAATTTAAAATGCAGTTTTAGCAAATTTTGCTGAATTAAACACAGGAAGGCCACAACCAGGGGGCGGTTCCACCCGCCATCTAGCGAGACCTTGGCTCTGAATTTTTGGTTGTTTGGTAATTTGTAAAATGTGCGCCAGCTGGCCAAAAAAAAATTAACATAATTGCCAAGAGGAGCAGCAGCAAGTGTTAAAATGCAAATTGGCTTCCACAACTACCAATATAAATTGGCGCCTAATTAGCAGGCCCCCAATTTTGGCAGTCCAATGTGAGAAAATACCCCACTGAATTCCATGGCCAAGTTTTGATTGATCCTTGGCGAAGCGCACAAATTTCTGTCGTCTCATCAATGATTCATTATTTTGTTATGTTTTTAGTAAACTTCGCAGCAGAGCTTTAGCCAGCTGGGAGCTGTAAATTGAGACAGCACCGTGGATATGGAAAGTTAAATTGCATGCCTATCCAGAATAAGTAAATAGCAGCAGCTGACATTGTGATATGGCCAGAATGATTCGTCTAAAACGCTGGAAGCACGTGTCGCTCCAGATTACAATCGCTAGATGAAAGGTTTACTGGACATCCTTAAAAGATACTATTAAAAAAGGGCTGCAAAGGAATCAGAGAAATTGGTTCATATATATGTGAAATTGCAAATTTTATGAAAAAATCCTCATCTACAAAATTTTAGACGCATAGAAAGTTAAACCATGTCTGCAGTTTTGACAAAGATAGAGCATTCCAATGTCAAGGAAGAGCCCTTTTGTAAACTACAGTAAGTCAGATGCAAGGGCAAAGAAATATTAAAAAAGTTGCTATATTTTGGCTGCCCTTGAAAACAATAAAATTTCAAATCCTACTTTCCTCCTTTGTATACCCTGCACCCATTGAAAATGTGTGAATGGGAATTACGGTCATATACAAAGTATGTAATAGGCAGAAGAAAGCATCTCTGACACCATAAAGTATATATATAATCGATCAGCATTAAAATTCGAGTCGAGCTAGACATATCCGTCAGGCAATCACACCGTTTGTCCGTTTTTCCGTATATATGGTTTCGTCGATCTACCTATAACAGCTAGAAGCTTAAGAATTTGAACGTAGGTCCTCCCAATCCCCGCGATAATCAATAACTTGCCTCATTTCGAAGAATTCGATAAATATCAATATCACAAATCTGTTTCTTGAGCAAATCTCTTACATTTTAAGATCTTGAATCACTATATTTACCTTGTTGCTTCTAGAATAGTAAATAAAGATCAAGTATCTTAAATTTTGTTGGCCTCACTGTATCCCCTAGTCGGGTACTCCCCACTAAAGCAATCTATTTATTTTTATTCGATTTTTATAATAGCGTCAAAAACTGTTTATTGGCATTCATAGCTGAGAATTTTCGGTAATATATGCTATTTTTGTGGCAAAGAATTTGACAGCTTAGTTCCTGCAGCAGCGTCTTTGTGCAGCAGCCTGTGTGGCATGCACTTCAAATGCGTCGATTCGAGGGAGTGGCTATTATTCGATTGGATGCTTGCAGAAAACGTCATAAAATGTGGTTGCCTTAAAATATGCGTACGGATGCTTGGCGTATTTGATAGATGATTACCAGGAAGCAAGTGTTGCTTGATAGAAAGACTTGAAAGTGCTTTTAAATGTCTTGCAAGTTTTTCCATATATTGTAAACTGCCTATTGCTGCAATTTGTCAATAATGCCGATAAATGTCTTAATTACTGTCAGCAAGAGAATTCAAAAGGTGATTAAACAGTTTTCAATGAAGACCAACTCGTTACACTTTTAAGCGTTTGAGTAATTAAAAAGGTCGACGTTTATGGAAATGATATGGCACGGGCAAAGTGTTCCAGTATAATGATTAGAACGGTTTCCTTTTGAAGTGGTTCACAAGGCAAAGTACATTAGTTAAATTAAACAAACTGTTGTCAACACGATACTAATACAGGGAATTGACACAATAGCTAAAAGCAAAGCCTGGTAAAAAGTCAAATTGTAACCTTAAAATCTCTGCTTTCAGGCAATGCTGCGTATACGCATTTTGCGCCTAAATTATTCAGGCTTTGTTGGCGGCTGAGCAGCACAAATACAAACAAACACACCGCTACATACAATAGATGTACTGCTGCAGGTATGAGTCGGCATACATTTATGTAAAGGCACTTTTGTGGTTTTTTTGCTTTTTTTATTGTGGTTCACCATTTGCATTTGGCCTGAGCTTAAATGAAATATTTATTCGACTCAGAAGCTGGCCTTTCAGGCATATGCTCAGCAAATGCAAAGCGCACGTGTCCAATAATTGATTGATTGAAGGCACAATCAAAGGAACAGCTGCCGAGCACAGCTATGCTTGTTGCTGAGCTGACAGGATTTCCATTTCTTGCTGATTTCCATAGCAGTCATGCTTAAAGCATTCATAAGTGCAGAAAAGGTACTTTAATTTAAGAGCCTACAAATTCGTTGCCTATTTTCAGGCGCCGTTGACCCATAAAGCAGGCTGCAGACTGTTAAAAACTTAAAGCTGAACATAAATTGAAAGCCTAATTGCATATCAATTGTATTTCGTCAAACTGCAGCACGCAATGTGGCACAAAAACGTCATTAAAAATGTAAACAACTTTGCACAGGTGCTCTAAGCACAAAAAATGAAAACAACAGCAAGAAAAACTATGCGCCCGCCACGTTGCGTGCTTGTTGCCATTTTGGATGCGCTGTGGCCCAGTTTGTGCGGTGGGCGTGATCCCCGGCTCAAGAATTGTGAGCAACAAACAATGGCACAAAAAGTCGTTCAATTTGTTACGCCCACTATTGCCGATTCGCCCAAGGTGTCCAGCCACAAGGTAAAAAATCTATTGCAAAGGAAAA